ACTCGGGATACGCCCAGAGTCATGGAACGGATTAAGTTCGTATCCCGAGGTACCACTGTAGCATCTTAAGATGGGGGAGGGGGTAAGAAGAGGGAAGGGATAGGACTGGACTATGATGCTGAAATGAAATAAGTCTGTTGTGAGTTAAGCTCAACTTCTAAAAGCTTTATGGACACATCCATGTAAAGTTAGGGTTTATTTGTTGGCTCCAGCAATGATGCAGAATACAACACACTGTTCTTCTGGGGTGTTTTCTTTTCAATTTCTCGTCAACTCCATTGCCCTAGAACTCCCTGTACCTCTCCCATCCAAGTATTAACCGGTTAGACACTGTCTGGCTTTCGAGCCCAGACAGGGACAAGGCAAGAGAATGAGACACTGAAATGCTGAGCTGCATAGGCCCACTGCAGCAAGGCAGTTAAATAAATGTGTCAACTTTTCTTCTTCTTTGTTTTTAACAAATTGCAAGGACAGATGTCTTACTTTTAAGGAAAAGCCTGCCAAAGCAGAACACTTATTTGCATTAACTATCCCGCTGTGGCCAAGCTCCAACAGTGACATCTAGGGGCCAGAAGAATAATTGTTTTCTCATAAGAACCCCATTCCAACCCACGCCCAGTCGTCCTCAAAACTGGGCATGCTGCAATTTATTTACTTCCAACCCACCCAATGACAGAAGCTCTCCAGGGGTATTGCTTAAAGCATTTTGCTTCTAAAATGATTTAAAATCAGAAAAGGCCAGGCAATGCATATAAAGTCCATTATGCCAGTGTACAATGGGCATTTAAAAGCAAGCTGAACTACACAAATGCCTTGCCAAAAAAGGAACCTGCTTCCCTAGCATCAAAAAGGAATCAAGGCAAGCACCAGATGGGCCTCTCTAGGGAGGACACTGCACAAGACGGGGCCACAACCAAGGACATCCTCTCCTTGGTTGCCAGCAGTCACATCCACTGGGCTGAGGACCACCCAAGAGCCGAGTTAGGTACAGGGGAGGCCAGGGGGGTCTTGAGAGACACCATGGCTCAACCCAACCTAGTTGTGATCAACTCTTTCCATAACGGCTCTGAAGCTGCCCTATAATTTCCTCCCCTGCTCTGTTCTCCTCTTGTTTCAAAGTAGCTAATAAAAATGATAGTCCACCAGCTCATGTAATAACCATCAGAGAGGACAAAAGGAAAGCAAGTTCCTTGTTTGGAGTTTCCATGGCCGGTCACCAAAAAGACTCTTATTCTCCACAGCTGACCAGCAGAGGGGCAAATTAGCAAGCACGGACCTGAGAAAATAACACAGAAAATCATACTCCAACGACCTTCGCCCAAATCACTCCCAAAAGAATGTGGCAAAGAGAGCTGCCATTTCATCAGAACCTTAAATACATCATGAGCCAAAATTAAGATAATCCATAAATTGATCTCTCTGCCCATGAGAAAAAGTTGAACTGCAACATCTGCAGATACACCTTAATGTATATACTTCATACCTCATAATGAGCAGCAGAGAGATTTCACCAGGAAGAGAAGTCTTCAGAAGGATTGCTTTCATACTTGAAAATCATTGTTTGGGGACAAGAGACAAGAGCTGCCTCACGTAGCGATGAATGATACTGAGTTGCTTTCTCTAGGCCTTTCATCCTAACTGCCTGCCTTCAGTCCATTTCTCAGGCTCTTGGGGATACCTAGCAGGTTTACATAATGGTCCTGCCAGGTCCCCAGGTTGGTTCCCACTTGGCTAGCTCCACCTCTCACACTTTCAGACTGACATCATACATTACTCTTTCACTTTTCTCTACCTGCACATCTGTAGTTTTGCTCCCTTGTTGTCACCACTGTCCTTCCACCATGGCATCATCATTAACCCAACTAGAATGGATCATAATATACTAGATTGTTGATGGGAGAGGATGTAGATTTATTCTTGACTGCTTCTGAAGAGGGCATGGATTTATGCTCCACAGCTTTTGAAGCAAAGGTTGGCCGGCCATTTGTGTGGGGTAGTCTGAGAATTCATGCCCTTGGCAGAGGGTTGGACTAAAAGACCTCAAACCTTATGATTCTATGAATCAGATACCCTTGTCTGCAGGAAGTAACTCACAGGCCACTCAGAAACAAGAACTTAAAAAAGTCAGAATGAAAGCATGTTTATACTGGAAACATTTCAAGAATTAATCCCAGATGTGTTAGGACTGCAATTTCCTCCAGTTCCCAGCTACAATGACCAAAGTTCCAATCCCCAACATCCAGAGGGTACCAGATTGAAGACAGTTGTATATTCCATGGCTCTGTTGGGGCAGTTCTCTCGCCTGAACGAAATGCAGACTGGGATCACACATGATTTACGCAGTTTATTGTATAAATCACAGCTAACTGGGTTTGCACAAAATATGAAGCCATAAATCACAGTTTCCATACCCCAATGACTGGGTGTCACACAATGTGCTGCGCCAAAAACACCAATCACTTAGTGCAATGTGTGAAACCCAATCACATTCTTGGTTGGTGTATCAGTGCAGGTAGATACCAGAGATACATCCCACAGTACAAATTCCTAACAGCCAATGTATAAGGAAGCAATCAACATCAGAGCAATGCTGATAGTGCAATATTTACAACCTACTGGCTAGCAAGGGGTGATCCAGAAACTATTACATGAACGCTTTTCAGTTTTTTGGGCCCAGCAGTGAATCTATACTCTATGACTGTATTTTATTGAAAATGCAGCATTTGTAATACAACATAAATTTAATCTATCAGAGAGAGAGAGAGAAAAAAAAAAAGATCAGCAGTGTGGCACAAAAAAAAAATTGGAATTCAAAATGGCCATGAGATCATTCCTCAGTACCACAACACAAGCACCAGCTACACAAGTTTAAGTGCCTTCTTTGACAAAACACAAATCTTGTTTGCGGCACCCCTGACTAATATTAAGTCATCACTGCAGTCTTGAAATATTTCCAGTGTTTGATCTCAACAGAGAGGTTCCTGTCTGTGGGAGACCCACAATGAGCCATTTCGAGTCTCAACAATAATTGGTACAAACAACATAAGGGAATCTAAAAATCCAACCTAAACAAGATTTAGAGGAAATTTTGAAGAAAATGTTTTGAAGAAAACATTGCTCCTGATCAACATTTGTGAAAAGTTCATTCCACCAGCTTGTTAAATCCAGTAATTACTTGTGAAGAGAATCCTGTACAAAATCCAGTCATGTGAGAGGCGGCAGCATCAGTTGGATATCCACGCATTGCACCAATGAAAAGGTAGGGGGGGAATTCTCATTATTTCACAACAAATAATGTGCAACATATTACAAGAGAATTCCCCCCTCCCCCCCCCAAAACTGGCAATAGGAAGTTCAGGATGAATTCCGATTTCAAAGTAATTCAAACACATGATGCCTGTGATTTTCAGCAGCAGTAAGATAGAAGAGGAATAACATTACTGCAGAATTAACAGTGGGGTCTTTTCTTGGCAAGACATTAGACGAGGCAGATTAACAGGGTACCAACAGAAAGATGCTGAAAGCAGCAACTGGTCAACACGAGGGATAAAACAAACTGTACATTTCAACATGGAAACATTTTTGGATTGCCAAATAACATTATAAGGCTCTGAAATTGGTCATAAATGTATCACATCTTCATCCATTAAGCAATAAGGTTTCCCCTTAAGAGAAATCACCCCTTATTAACAGAACAACTGCATTTAAAATCATGGCATTTGACAAACTCAGTATCTAGCTAGGAAAAAAAACTTACGTGAAAAGGTACTACACAGAGTAACAGTCTGGTTGAACTTGGCATCATTGTTTTGCCATCAAACAAAATAAACATCAGTTCCAAAAACACCTGCGTTTCTTAGCCATAAGACCAATGGTCCAATGTCAGCTCACATCCAAAAATTGATCCCCCTCCAGAGGATGTAGGAATCCACTCTGTTTCACTGACACTAGAAATATCAAATTACCTTGATATTATCAAGTCTACTGTAAGCATTATCTAGATGTGGATTCCAAAGTCATAACTGGTAGGTTACTTACGGTGCAAAGGGTCAGCATTTTGTCTAGAAAGGTTATCAACATTTCTAGCAGGGTACTCAATTGCTCCTCTTCCTGTTTTCCCAACTCTGCTAAATTCTGGGACTCAGGACATCACAGATTCATTCAAACGAAATGAAATGAAACAAAAACAGTACTGGGGATGAGAGGAGGTCCACCCCAGTTCCATCCAATTCAAACAGAGCTTCCTAAGTTTACAGTCTTTGAGGCTGCACTATACCCACAAATCTTCCTTTGTCTTCCAGGCAGCAATTCAGATTTCTTAGTCCTGCTTGCCTTCCCGCCATTGCCGGGAACCTTCATTCCATGCTACGTACACAAAAAGAGCAAGGACAATATGAACAGCAACCACAGCAACAATTGCCGCATAAAAGTAGCTGTCTCTGTTGGACATCCCAAAGGTACCTGAAAATGAAAAGACAAAACCATGAAAACCTATGGCAATCCAGACCATGCCTATCTTTATATATACCGGAGCCAAACTACTTTTGCAATGAGAAATTCATCACACAGGTTTCATTTTCATCACACCTTTCCATTGTGGTACTCCAAGTATCTTGGACAGCAGCACAAAATGAAATCCAGCAAGACAAAATGATGTATGTATAGATCGAACACTCTTCTGTTTCCCTTTTTACTACGAAATCCACCCAATGGCTAGTGTGGTGTCACAGTTTAGGCGTTGAACTACAACTCAGGAATACCAAGTTAAAATCCTCTGCAGTCACAGAAATTGACTGGGTTGAAGCCAGTCTCTCCTTCCAAGCCCAGTGTCCCCAACAGGATTATTGGGGGTCAAATGAAGAGAGATCCCTATGTGAATTACTCTGAGTTCTTGGAGAAAAGGTAGGTTATAAATCTAATCAATATGCTCTTGATCTTCAATTGTCTGTGGTTCAAGTGATTGCCCCAATCAGGAGGAGGTTACTAATGCTTAAGATAGTAATCCTATACCCATTTATTCTGAGGGTAACTCACAATGAACTACTGTAACAGGATTTAACTCTGGATTGGTAAGAATAGGACTGCACTGTTTAAATCACTGCAGATTTGTCCGCCCGTTAATAAAGTAGCAAAACCATACTTCATGCTTTACTGTACTATTTTGATTTGTAATAATCACTTGATGAATTGTGTATGGAAAGCAGAAGGTATAAATACTTTAAATCAGCTTTCTCCAAAGTTTTGTATGCCCTTTATTGATAATGCTAGCATGACTGGAGATCAGGGAAGATGAGGTCCAAAACATGGGAAAAGTTGGGGTAGTCCATTATAAACAGAACATTTAGATACAAATTTTGTACCACTGAGGTTTGCAAAACAGAAATAAAAGGAGATAGCAGTTATTTAAAAGTTTATATCATGTTAATAAGCTAAATTACCAGTCTGGCTATTTGGTAATGAAATAAAATGTATCAGACTCACAGTTAGAATGTTATTACAAATCAGGATTCTTACCTAGTACATTACAGTATATATGATAAAAGTTAACAATGCCAGTCTCCATAATTTTCAGACACATCAAAGCCAATTTAAAAGCTCACAAACATTCTCAGTATCTAGTTTTGATCAATGCAAATATAAATGAAACTTGATCTTTTAAGAAAACAGAATTTAAATTTGCAACAAAAGGTTTCCGTTGTGAGGATTTAAACCAGGATATGATTCATAAGGCATTCCATGACGTTGCAATAGCTCCCTTTTCATGTAACTTATAGTTGGAGGTTTCTAAAACTTACTTTAGCAAATTGGGGAAGAAACACTTAACCTCAATTTTCCAGTTGGAAGAGATGAAAGCAAATGTCTGGCTCCTATAAAGACAGTCCTGCCCTACGTGCATTACAAAATTGACTATCAGGAAGCTGGTTATAATGACATTTTTCAGAACTGAAGCTCTGTTTTTTTAATGAAAAAAAACACCATATAGTATACAAACAGCTTAATAGAGCAGAGAAACTCCTCCATATTTTGTTAGTTGAAGACTGTGACATAACTTCCTGTAAAATACATCTAGTGTTCCCTGCAATTACAGTGGTACCTCGGTTCACGAACTTAATTCGTTCCGCGACTCTGGTCGCGACCCAAATTGGTTGCGACCCGAATCAAATTTCCCCATAAGGTTCAATGTAAATACGGTTAATCCATTCTGACCCCTCCGAATTTGGTTGCCAACCGATTATGGTCGCGTC